TGCCTTGTGAAGTATACTAAGTTTGTTTTCCATTGCACTGAGCTCAAGTGTTAAGAGGCCTGATAGAGTATTTTCAGCCTTTGTTGAAAATGTTGACTGTTCATTCATGAATGATTAACAGGCTGTTTTATTTAAAGGCACGGATCTGCTTCCTCCTGTGCCAGTGTAAAAATCAGCTTCTGAAAAAGCTGTGTGTACAGTCCCTATTTGAAGAATGTTGTGTGTTCATCCAGAAAACTTTGCCCTGCCTGCAGGAAACTCTTCCTGGTCGATTTGCAAGGATTTAGAGCTAGCAAACCTTTCTGTGAGACTGAACTAAATATGGCAGGTTTCTAAAGTGTTAGTACAGAACATTGTTGAGCTCAGAATGAGGTCCGTATGTTAATAAAGTTGTCATAATGCTTGATGCCTGTACAATTTTCATTTAAGTTGCAACACCATACAAGTATTTATTTCTAGTTTATCACTCTTTTAGTAAGAGTCCTTGCCTGTTCTTAGCAGGAGAAAGCAACATGAAAAAGTCTGAAAAGCATATCAAATAACAAATGAATGTTGAAATGTTTTGAGTATAAGGTGCACATGCATAGGCACGTTGAAGGATGTGTTCTTGTGATTCTGATAGTAAGAAGACAGAGTCTCTTTTAGTAGATTTATTTCCATGTTTATGAGCATTCAGAGCTTGTTAGTGCAAAAACAAAGCTCAGGGAATGAAGTTCTAGATGGAAATCCTTATGTGCATACTAGCTGTTTAGTGATTAGCATATATTTAAGTTTCCCTTAACTACATATGTCTGGTTTTGGGAAAACAGCCATGGAAGTAGTCAGAAGCTACTTTGATATAGATAATGCTTTACATACTCGGATTTATACCTTGGTAATGAGTAATGTGTTTGGTAAATGAAAGGAATGTAGTTAAATGCTTTTTGGCTTGAAACTGTTAAAGGCTTTTGCAGAACAAAGTCTTGAATTTAAAACAGTCATTTGAAATGAAACAGTGAGGCGTTGCAGGGCCTGGGAGCTCTACAGGGACATCTGGTGTGACCTGCCTTTGCAGGGCTCTCCTCAGGTTGAGGGGGAGACTATTCACCTTCCTGCCAACACTGATGTAAAAAGTACACCAAAGTTAATTTCAGGAAACTTTGAGCTTTCTAAAAGCTGGTTTCCTCATCCGTAAATGAGAAATTCTTCAAAATTAGCCTTGATAAGTTTGGGTGCTTTTGAACTGAGCATTACTATAGACACAATAACATAACTTAGTTGTGCAGCTTGAGGTATGAGGAAGTATTACTGTGTGCTCTGTGGTTATTTAAAATAGCTCCTGATAAGAAAGTTGTATCCCTCAAAGATGTACTTATGAGCTAAACTGGGTGTTGTAGATAGATTAATGGCTTTGCGTTTTTTTTTTTTTATGCTTTGCTGAAACCAGTAACCTACAGGTGCCTTTGGACATACTGTAATTCTCCCTGAAAAGTCTCTTGGAAGAGAGAGCAACAGAGATTGAGTAGCTGGAAGCTCAGCTGGCAGGACAGTTAGCTGTCCTCTTTGCTATTGAGGACGAAAGTTCTGGCTTTCCCTTGAAAACCGGAAATCAGTATATTGAGTTTGGAAGTAAAAAGCATTCAGAAGAAAATCCCTCATTTCATGTTATTGTTTAAAACTTAATTAGTATGAGTTAACATGGCAGTATCTTGGTTGTGGGCTTCCAGTATTGGCTTAGTACATACATGTCCTGCAGTTTTATCTGAAGCTGTTCTGGTTATAATGCTGAAAGCATTGAAAAACAGTGTGGAACCTCTGAGCCATATTCCTATGTGTTTAAGGTTTAAGAAAATGTTCAAAGAACTGTATTGAGTATTCTTTTTCACAGGCTTTCTATCTGGAAAACACTTTTATTAATACACGGATTTTAATAATGGCACCTCATTGTCTGTCTTAAAAAAACAATTGGCAGATGTAGGCCAGATAGCAAAGCATTCTTACTGTCTTGTGGGGAAGAGCAGCTTTAGGAGAACAGGAGTGTTGTGCAAACCACCAGCTTCCTGCCACAGCAGCCAGGCTCTTGATGGAGCTGCTTTTGACACTTCCTTGAAATAGAGGAAGGACTTTAGGCTTTGTGCATTCCACAGTGCAGGTGTATGTTGTAGATTCAAATTACAAGCCCAGTGGTTTAATGGTAGGATGATTTGTGTGGGAAATGCAGTTCTGCAGGCTGATGGAACAAAGGGAAATGGCTTTAAACTGAAAGAGGGTAGATTTAGATTAGATATTAAGAAGCAAATCTTTACTGTGAGGGTGGTGAGGCACTGGAAAGGACTGCCCTGAGAAGCTGTGACTGCCCCATCCCTGGCAGTGTTCAAGCCAGGTCGGATGGGGCTTTGAGCAACTTGGTCTAGTGAGAGGTGTCCCTGCCTATAGTGGGGGGTGGGAACTGCCTGATCTTTAAGGTCCCTTATAACTCAAACCTTTTTATGATTCTGTGATCAGGCAACCAAGGCAGAAACTGTGATCTTGAATGGGGAGACCTCAAAGTTTCTCTCCTTGCTTCCCGGGAAATTGATATGCATCCTCAAAGACGGTGAAGTCATGTTTTGTTCATAGTAGAATTCTCTCAAAGGCAGCCATTCTAACCTCATCAAAAAAACAAGGAGGGGTGAGGGGGAGAAGACTGGGGTAGTAGAAAAATAGTCTTTTACTGCTCATCAAGTTTTGTAACAGATTTTCATTTCTTCGAATTAGGTAGAGGAGGATACTAATTGGTTTTGGCTCTATGATTTTGTCAGTGCTGAAGCTTTTTTTTTTCCTTTGTGGTTTGCCTTAAACATACTGTACTTGCCATATCTAGTAAGCTGTGTTTTCTCTTTCAAAGGAATAGAAAACAAGTCTGTGCCTGTTTTAATCTTACTAAGTTCCCCTCTAGCTGTTTCCCCTTTTGGTTGGGGATATTGCCCATATTTGGTTCTACCTCTGGTGCAATCAGTTTATATCTGATTGTGTGGTATGGTATGCTGCCTTGCCTGAGCAAACCCTGGTCTAATTTATGAATAGATGTGGCCTAGATTAGCAGCTTTTGATTTTAATGTTTAAAAGGACATTATAAAAGATCTTTTATGTAATGCAATATGTTATTTTTTTCCTGTGAAAAATGCAACAAGAGGCACAAGGACTTGCCTGCAGCAAAGCTGATGAATTAAAACCAAGCAGGGGGAAGGGATGGTATAAATTACAGTTCCTTTCTTTGGAGTGCCTAAATAATACAGCTTAAAATAGAGATGGCAGTGCATTACCAGGAAATTATTCAATTTGATTTAATAACAAGCTGCTTTCACAATCTCTTGCAATTCTGCATGGTGTGTTTTGTATATGTGTATTATGCGTCAAAAACTGAACATCTGAAAGTGTATTTGTCTCCTAAACATATTAGTGGCTTATTTGAAAGTACTCATGGTTTCAGTGAGTGCCATGGACTTTTAACTATGATTTCTGCTGGCCTCTATGTTAGCAAACTATTTATTAACAAGAAATTGTCATTGGTGTTTTGTTTTTGTTGTAGTTATTTGTTGTTCTGCTTGGGTGCACGTATATAGATAAAATCGGGTGAATAAGATTGCCCACTTCTGTTACAGGAATGGTAATCAGAACACTGGGTGCTATTGCTTAAAATATTTTTAAACAAGCATCTGTTTGGAAAGGCTTACAGGTAAACCATCCAGGTGTTTTCCAGGGTTAGTCCCAACACTGCACTCATCTTTCCAGCTGAACTGTCTACTTAGGTCTTGCTGAGAAGATACAAGTGCTGCTTTACATTCTACATCTGTACTAGAAGTGAGGGGGAAAGGTTGGAGAACCATAGAATCATAGAATAGTTAAGGTTGGAAAGGACCTTAAGTTCCAACCCCCCTGCCATGGGCAGGGACACCTCACACTAAACCATGCCACCCAAGGCTCTGTCCAACCCAGCCTTGAACACTGCCTGTCTTCATCCGTCAAACTGATGTCTCTCCAATTTAGAGACAAGGATGTCATGCGGGACAGTGTCGAATGCTTTGCACAAGTCCCGGTAGATGACATCAGCTGCTCTACCCCTTTCCATCAGTTCCCTAGCCCCATCTTAGAAGGCCACCAGATTGGCCAGGCAGGATTTCCCCTTAGTGAAGCCATGCTGGCTGTCACCAAGCACCTTGTTGTTTTTCATGTGCCTTAGCATGCCATCCAGGAGAACCTGCTCCAAGATTTTGCCAGCCACAGAGGTGAGACTGACTGCTCTGTAGTTCCCTGGGTCATCCATTTTCCCCTTCTTGAAAATGGGGGTTATATTTTCCCTTTTTCCAGTCATCGGGAACTTCACCTGACTGCCATGATTTCTCAAAGATGACGGACGGTGGCTTAGCAACTTCATTCGCCAGCTCCTTCAGGACCCGCGGATGGATTTCATCTGGACCCATGGACTTGTGCACGTTCAGGTTCTTAAGATGGTCTCGAAGCAGATCCTCTCCTAGCTCCATGTTCTTCTTACACGATACTTCCCCGAGGGTTTTAATACTATCCTACAGACCTGAGTCACTTACTTGTGCTTCATGAGTGTTGCAGGGAAAACCTGCTCGGCCCAGACGGTTTAAACCGAACTGGGATCAAAACACTTTGTTGAGCTTTCGAGAACGTGGAATTAGGCAGCAGTCATAAGGTGTTGCGTTCAAGTAGTAGTACAAGAGGTAAACTGCCAGACGAGACACATGAATGTTAACAAACACAACCAAATATCTAAACACCCTCTGCTACAAACGTTACCCTGCGTAACAAACGCAGAAGAGATTTCTTGAATTCTCCTTTCCAAGAAGACCTCACCACAGGCAGTGTAGTAGCAAATGCCAATCGGTGTATTGATAAGGAATGGTGAGGAAATGCTGCATGCTCACTACGTCTCTGCCAAGTTCATACAGATGGAACCCAAACCCCTTTCCTTTCTCCTTCGGGATCGCCACTCTCCAATGACTGTACGTGGTATAAAAGCCTTTACGGATACAGTATGATCATACAGATTTATTTAGAGGGACACCCCGCGGCGATGCCCAGTGTGTGGCCACCATGGGCAGGGACATCCCCTGGGCCTCCTGGGCACAGGCGCTGCCTCAGGGCCAGCAGCCCAAAGGCCTTTCTCCAAGGGATGCTGGGTGAAGGGGCAGCGGCAGCAGCAGGGCTGCGGTGGGCAGGGCTGCAGGGGCCCCGTCACCCCCGTGTCATAGTGCCGGCACCCGGCCACGCAGCATCACAATGCTCCGGGGCAGTATGAGTCCAGCGCCCTCCCCTGCCCCACTGCCAGAGTGCCCGGCGCTGCCACCAGGACAGAGCTGGCAGGCGGAGGGCATCCGAGAGGCAGTCCTTGGGGCACCGGGGGAATTCCTGGCAGGGGGAAGGGGGTTGATGGGGGCAACCCTTGAAGCTGCACGAAGCTGCAGGAGGTTCTGTGCTGTGGTTCCAGCTCCTGGAGGGGCCACGCTCAAAGCTCATCGGATCTATGGATGGATGCATGGATGGAAATCCTGCCTCAGTCACTGGGGAGCTCGCCGTCCTCATCTCCTGGGCACCAGGGTATTAGGTGAGGGGGGGACTAAGGGAGGGAACACTTGAAGCTGCGAAGCTGCAGGAGGTTCTGTGCTGCGGTTCCAGCTCCTGGAGGGGCCACGCTCAAAGCTCATCGGATCTATGGATGGATGGATGGATGGATGGAAATCCTGCTTCAGTCGTTGGGGAGCTCGCCGTCCTCCTCTGCTGGGCACCAGGGTATTAGGTGGGGGGGGACTGAGGGAGGGAACACTTGAAGCTGCGAAGCTGCAGGAGGCTCTGTGCTGCGGTTCCAGCTTCTGGAGGGGCCACGCTCAAAGCATCATCGAGGGATCCTGCTTTGGTTGTCAGGGAGCTCGCCGTCCTCACCTCCTGGGGAGAGAGTGGCAGTAGCCAGAAGAAAAAGGATGCACAGGCGGCTCAGTGCCCTCCCCCAGGGCTCTGGAGCTCCCACTGCCAAGCACAGGAAGGATTCGTGCTCCGAGGATTCATCAGGCCAATGGCATTTTGCTGTTGTTGGAAGCCCCTGAGATGACTTCACGTGGAAGCAGAAAAAGCAGTGCCAGTGTCCCCTTGTCCCCTTAGAGGCGTAACCAGCATGTGGAGCGGGAGCAGGTCTTGCTCACGTGCTCAGGGAGTAGCCGACCGCCAGCACTGGGGTCAGGAAGGAATTTTCCCCCGGGGCAGATTGGCACCCGTCCCCGGGGGTTTTTTGCCTTCCTCTGAGCACGGAGCATGACCCCTTGTCAGGGCTCCTCGGTCCATTCTGGCTGCGTTATCGCCCGGTGCTCATGCTCCGCGAAGGCGGCCCCTCGTGTCCTGCAGCTGGGGGAGGGAAGTGCTTTTTTCCCCCCAGGCTGGACTAGCAAGCGTCCCTGGGGTTTTTTGCCTTCCTCTGCAGCCGAGCACAGCCCCTTCACGGGGCTCCTTTGGGTCATGGTGTCCCAAAGGCAGCTGCTCGTGCTCCACGCAGGTGGCCCTCGTGCCCCGCATCCGGGGGGAGGCAGCCTTCTGCACTCCCAGGCTGGCCCCAGCGTGGCCCCGGGACTCGCTGCTGTCCTCTGGAGTACTGAGCACCAGCCCTCGTCAGCTCTTCCCTGGCCCTTTCTGGCTGGGTTCTTTCTTGCACTGCTCTCGCAACACCACGGCGCCGCTCCTGCCCTGGCTTTCCTTTCTCAGGCTGCAAGGGAGGGTTTTTCCAGCTAAACTGAAGGGTCTAAGCTAAACCAGACTAAAATTAACTAAGCTAAACTAAATCAAATCACTTGATTTAGAAATAAATCAAATACTCTTTCTACCCGTAACCGTTCTGAGTTGTGTCTTTGAAAGTGGTTTTGGTGCTGAAATTCCCTTGGCATTTCAGGTAAATACGGATCTCCTCATTGTACAACTTGTGAGTGCAGGGAAGGGGAGGGAATAAAATGCAGCAGAATAGAACAGAAGAGAGTGGAATGGAACTGAACAGAATGCAACAGAAAGCTCTGCTATGTTATGCATATAGAATCATAGAATAGTTAGGGTTGGAAAGGACCTTAAGATCATGGGCAGGGACACCTCACACTTAACCATGTCACCCAAGGCTCCTTCCAACCTGGTCTTGAACACTGCCCGGGATGGAGCATTCACAACTTCCTTGGGCAACCCATTCCAGTGCCTCACCACCCTTACAGTAAAGAACTTCCTCCTTGCATCCAATCTAAACTTGCCCTGTTGAAGTTTTAACCTGTTACCCCTTGTCCTGTCACTGCAGTCCCTAATGAAGAGTCCCTCCCCAGCATCCTTAGAGGCCCCTTTCAGATACTGGAAGGCTGCTATGAGGTCTCCATGCAGCCTTCTCTTCTCCAGGCTGAACAGCCCCAGCTTTCTCAGCCTGTCTTCATACGGGAGGTGCTCCAGTCCCCTGGTCGTCCTCGTGGCCCTTCTCTATACTTGTTCCAACAGTTCCATGTCCTTCTTATGTTGAGGACGCCAGAACTGCGCATAACACTCCCAAGTGAGGTCTCACAAGAGCAGAGTAGAGGGGAGGATCACCTCCTTCGACCTGCTGGTCACGCTCCTTTTGATGCAGCCCAGGATACGGTTGCCTTTCTGGGCTGTGAGCGCACACTGAAGCCGGCTCATGTTCATTTTCTCATTGACCAACAGCCCCAAGTCCTTCTCCGCAGGGCTGCTCTGAATCTCTTCTCTGCCCAACCTGTAGCTGTACCTGGGATTGCTCCGACCCAGGTGTAGGACCTTGTACTTGGCATGGTTAATCTTCATAAGGTTGGCATTAGCCCACCTTACAAGCATGTTATCTTTGGCTAAGAAGTGGCATCTCAGAAACTCTATGTCTTGTCTTGAACAAGATCACATTGCTTATGGTTCCTGAGCAATACTTGCATTGTAAAGCTGAAGTTTTTCAACAAGGCAAGCATATACTTTTTTTAAATGATGATTCCAGTGTATTTCAAGTCCACTGTAAGACATAATAATCAGCTGTCATCTTGAGAGATGCTGTAGAATTGTTTCAGTAATAAATAAATGTCTTGTGATATCTACCTTAGAGTTAACGATTTAATGTTTTTCACGCCCCAGCATCTCATGGCTGTCCTTTGTGCTCTTGTACCTAACAACAAATAAGGGAGTTTGTTGGTTTGTTTTACTACTGTAGTGTATTCTGATTTGTAAGGGAGCATTCTAAAATTGTTTGCTCTTTAACAATACGTATTTTCTCTCAATAGCCAACTACTCCACCAAGCCAAGGAAGGCCTGATTCACCAGTTTATGCTAATTTACAAGAACTGAAAATATCTCAGTCTGCACTTCCACCACTACCTACAAGTGCTCCGGTCCAAATAAATGGGGAATGGGAAACCCATAAAGATACGACAGGACGCTGTTATTACTACAACAGAGGATCACAGGAACGAACCTGGAAACCTCCACGGTGGGGCCGAGATGCAAGCATTAATAAAGGGGATACCCAGAGCCATGCAGATCATGAGGTAGTTGTTCTGAGACCACAAGCAGTGAGATTGTAATGCACGTGAATGCTGTTTTGCTGTGGAATTTGGTATTGCTGAGTTTTGGGGTGTCAAGGAATGTCTTCATTTGTCTTCTTGGTCATGTGTCTTGGTATGAAGTTGTAAACAGTTTAGCTCTTTAATTGCTTTTGTGTGCAAGAATGAGTACATGAGCTGTTTATGAGAGTAATAAGTAAGTAGTAAACAGGTACTGCAGCTTTTCTTTTAAAGGTAAATGAAAACAAAGGAAAACTAATATATTTTGAAACTCAATAGGACTATAAATGACAGTAGAATAAGACAACCTTTGTAACTTCTCTGACAGAGAATGTGTTCTCTTTCCCAATGTATTTGGCACGTTTTTGGGGAGAGGAGGGGAAATGTGACAGTGCTTCTAGAGCAGGATTTATAGGGACATGTTGAAAAAGGCAAAGGAATTATTTATTTTTTCTCCAGACCAGTCAAATAAATGTTAAAACAAAGGCAAGGGATATACAGGTGTTTGCTACTGCTGGGTTATTGCTGTGGCAGTTAATTTTAAGTATGATATATTTTTCTTAGAGGAAAGTATTTTTGTAGAGGGGAATTAAGACAGATTTAGAGATCAAGATAGATGTAGAAAACTTGAGAGTTCTGGAGTCAAACCCAGGCTTAATAGAGTTTGACAGCACTTTTCTCCCACATAAAAAAGGACATAATTGAAGCTTCTATCAAATTAAAAGATTGATTTTTATTTTTGTACTTAAATTTATACATATATTAATAATATGTTCTATAATGCTTAAAGAACATTTTTTAAAATATTACTTCAAACTCAAATTCTATTTAATGAATTATTAAAAAGGTGGAATAATAAGAATATAAAATAAGTTTAATTGGATACCTTGTTGTAGCTTTTTATTTGACCATTTGCTTAGGAGATTTGAATTTATCACTTGTCAGTGATTTCTGCCTTGGATAGCTGTAGACCAAACTGGGAGAAAGGGCAGTTAAAGGAGCAATATTTTGTTGTCAATTTGTGTTAACTCTGAGAAAATGCCTTTCTTCATTCTGTGAATGACACCCTAGAGAACAGAAGACAAGATCATTAAAATTACTGTGCTAGAAGCTCTGCCTAGCCAAGTGTCTAGGTCCAAGGTAGCAAATGCTGGTGGGGGGAGGATATCCACCCCAGCTCTTGGAAATTGGCTATAGAAGCTTTTGACTATATTATGTTCAGGCCATGGACAGGTTCTGTAGATGTATCAATGGTTGTTTTTTTTTCGTTATGCAAACCTTTTGCAAAACCTTTGGGCAAAGCTTTGCCACAGACCTTGCTTAAGAGAGTTGAAATGTACCATGAAGTTATTTATGTTAAAAACAGATTTCGGCTAATATTTGAGGTGCAAATATATTCAGTGCAGCCAGTTGCTAGGGAGAGCCAGGCATTGATTCGTGTGTGTTTTATCTGAACTACAGTGGTTCAGATAAAGCAAAGGAATAGTTGGGAGATGGATATTACTATTTAAATATGCTTAAAATTGTGCTTTTGTTTTTAAACAGTACTTAGGTTAATCAGTTTTCTGATTGAAAGAAAAAGCAAACATCAAGAAATCTTCTACATATTTCACTTTTACATAGCTTTTCAAATATTAATGGTTTAGGTGGATTTCCTCTGGAGCCTATTACAGTATTTAGTTTTAAAATTTAATTGTGGAATGCTCAAAGATTTTAGATTGCTGGAAGCTCTGTCGTAGGTGTCTACTTCTGGAGTGGTAGTGCCAGAAACAGGAGAGAAAGGAAAAAGGGAAGCTTTTATTGCCTTTGGCAGTGCCCTTCATAGCAGCCCTTACATCTGCAAGCATTTGAACAGCCAAATTCTCTTGCCACAGGCTAGTGGCAGCAACAGGTAAACTGATAAAATGTTTGTGGCTGTTACTTTGGTATCTCTGACGATGGTCTGTTAATTTATCACTGGCTGTCCTTTTGCTGGATAAGACTCCTGTTTTTAGTATGGATAAGGTGATTGCTTTTTTGAGTAGTTACTCTCCTTGTAGTAAGTGTAACTGGCTTTCTGTTGTTATCATTCTTCCTCCTTTTCATGGAAGGACTTCCGGTAAATCTTCCTCCTCTGCAGATGATCCCTCCAACTTGTACTCATTCATCAGTACCATAACTTCGAAATTTAAGTACTGTGATTTCTGAACAGCAGGATGTGTTCCATCTGAAATGTTATGCCTTCTACCAGGCAAGGATCCACGATAGTGTGAAAGCCAGTGTGCACGGAATTCCTCAGGAGTCTGTGGCATAGATATTGTTTTGGGAAATGAATGCAGGGAGATTGCTTGATTGCTTTTTTTCTTTGTGTGTGTGTGTTTTTTTTCTCTTTGATGTATGGAATGGATACTTTGAATAATACTACAATGTCAGCAAGGACATGAACAAGGTGTACAAGGAAACAAATTGTTTGACATGTCTGTGCAAAAATCTTTTCTACTCTACACACCAAACTTGTTCCTTATATTATAATTTACTTCTACTTTCAGAAAATAATCTTAAACCTCAGCTAGCTGTGCCTGGTAGAAAGCCTTGCTTTTGCATTGCTTGTTGTGATATGCATCAGAGTTAGAAGGAGGAGAGCAAGTGGAAATTCGTAATATTTCAGGAGGCATTCAGAGAATCATAGAAAGGTTAGGGTTGGAAAGGACCTTAAGGTCATCTAGTTCCAACCCCCCTGCCATGGGCAGGGATGCCTTACACTAGACAGTGTTGCTGACCATCTTGTCCAACCTGGTCTTGAGCACTGCCAGGGATGGAGCGTTACCACTACCTTGGGCAACCTGTTCCAGTTCCTCACCACCCTCACAGTAACGAACTTCCTTGAATCTAATCTGAACTTCCCCTGTTGTCGTGGTTTAAACCCAGTCAGGTAATTCGTTCGCTCACTTCCCCCCCTTTCTTGCCCTCCCCCTGCTCTTGGAGGGACGGAGAGGAGAATCGAAAAGAATGCAACTCCCACAGGTTGAGATAAGAACAGTTTAGTAACTAAGGTATAACACAAATCACTACTGCTACCACCAGTGATAATAATGATAAAGGAAATAACAAGGGAAGAGAATACAACATCTCACCACCAGCCGACCGATAACTCGCCCCCCAAGCCCGACCAAGCTTTGACCGATACCTCCTCCAACCCTGCCGTCTCCCAGCCCTTCCGGCTAACTCCCAGTTACCTCCTGTGCATGACGTGCTGTGGTATGGAATACCTCTTTGGTCAGTTTGGGTCAGGTGTCCTGTCTCTGCTTCCTCCTGGCTCCCCC